TTCCCCGCCGTTCCGTCGGGTTCGCTGCGTAATCCGATTTGAGCGGACTTACCCCGCCGCCGCGCCCTCCGCCGCCAGCTCGCCCTTTGAATCGAAACTGCGCCTCTGCGCGGAGTTTGAGATGGACAGTGAACGCGCGACAACAAATGATGGCGGGACGTGCGTAGCGGGAGACAAATACCTAACTCGTTCACATTATTGATAGGATACCCATTACTCATTTGTGATTGCAGGCGACAGAGGAAGACAACACATGTTTTATTTTGCTTCTTCCAAGTATTTGACGCCACTGATGGTTTTCCCAGTCTTTCTTCTTTATGGGCATAATACAAACGTCTCAACACATTTGCAAAATGTTCTGATAAAACAGTTTGTTATTAAATTTATATTTAAAAAAACGTGAAGGGCGAACGATTATTAACGAACTATAATTGATGGTCTAGGTGTGTAAGAAGGTGTACCGACTCCGCGCTTTAGTCCGAAGGATCGTGGGTTCGAGACCCGCCTTGCACACGTATCACTTGTCTCTCATGTACGAATGGATCATCATGTTCTGCTAACCTCTGATCAGAGGAGACCGGAAGTGTGTCGGTGTCTATTGTATGGTCGAATACGCGTCCCATCTCGACCCAAAAGGTAACAAACTGTCGGCTTGGCAAAAGCCGTCGAGAAAGATATTTATTACTTCGTATTCAGTAAAATTATTTCGTACAGTAATTTCAATAATTCCTATTCTACCAACACCCATAATTATAGAATTTCAATGCTGATATTTAAAAAAATGTTTCAACTTGTTAAAAACCGCGTTGGATGGGGTGTATGGAAACGCTCCCTCCCCTCCCGCCGACTGAACGCCAATAGAAACGGGAAGGAAATAAAACGCCCAGATGATACGGCGCTCGCCGGGGACGGGGCGCAAGGCAAGAAAAAGCTGCGGTGTCTCGTCGGGTGGAGGCCGGGGAAGATCCGCGATCTGTGGGAATGGCGGAGGTGGCTTTGATGGCGGCGGAAGCCAAGGCGCGCCTGCCGTAACAATGCCACCACCGCTGTATCCGCTCGCGCGTTCGGATGTTTTGTTGTTTTTTTTTTCTTCTTCTTTTTCTCGTCCTCTCAGAGCTCATAGCCCGCACCGCCGCCGTCGCTGACACTAGAAAGTAGTGCGATTCCTTCGCGGTGCCGCCACCGCTCCGTGACCTCTGTCCCGCCCGCTGTCCCTGTCGCCTACGACTGCACCCCTGGCACTCCTGCTGTGCCTGCCGTCGCCCCGTCCTCGCTTCCCCCGCACCCCCTCTCGCATGTGCTACACTACTCCAGACATACTTCCGCCGCACACAGTGTTCCTGCATATGC